GGGAGGTCGGGCCGCCGGGACGCGGCGGGCGGGGACCAGGGCCGCCGCACCCGCCGTGGCCTGTGACTCGCACGCCGTCCGATGCTCCGGTGTGCGCCGGTCGAGCCCAGACCGCCCTCCTGCGCCGGGTGCGGGAACCGCACGCTCCCGGTGTACGTACGGGGCTGGACCCAGGCTGAGCGACAGTGCCAGGCGGAGCCGGGACGAACTCAGGGCCTCGCGCTTGCCGGGGAAGCGCTTATTGCACTGAGCCATCTCCGCGGCCTCCCCCCTTTTTTTTTTCTTTTTCTTTTTTTTGACTTTTATTTTTAAAATTTATATTTCTTAAAAAAAAATTATATTTCTTAAAGAATACAAAATGGTAAAAAAAAAAATAGAAATGATACAAAAAATTTTTTAAAAATATTTATCTATGTGGGGTCCAGGGAGATGGCTCAGTGGAATAAGTGCTTCCCTGACAAGCACAAGGGCCAGGGTTCAATCCCGGGTCCCGCAAAAAAAAAAAAAACAACAAAAAAAAAATTATCTATCTGATACGGGATCTCTACACAGCTCAAACTCCTGGTGACCCTCCTGTCTCAGTCTCCCCAGCGCTGGCATTACAGGTGTGCACTACCAGATCAGCAGGCCGGGCCGCCAGGGTGTCCAATTCCCGTCCTGGTGCTTGCCGCACAGGCGCTTAGACAGCCTATCTCCCCAGCCCTCCTCTTTTTTTTGAAAGACCAAAAAAAAAAAAAAAAAGCAGCAGCTTCCCTAAGTTCTCCAGGCTGAGCTCAAACCTCCTTCAGTCTCCCAGAATGTGGAGACTGCAGGTGCTACCCACACCCCGCTCCTAGTTATGGCTTCTGCTCTGAACCCTTTTATTCTCCACTGTGCAATAATGCCAGTCTTCTACAAAAGCCAGATCACATTACTCTCTTGAAATTCCTAGCAGGGCAGGCATGCTGGTGCCTGCCTATAATCCCAGGACTCAGGAGGCTGAGGCAGGAGAACACAGGAGTTGGAGAGCAGCCTGAGCCACGTAGTGAACTCAAGGCCAGTCTGTACTACACAGCAAGACCTTGTCTCAGAACACCAACAATAATAAGTGCACCTTCTCAGTGGTTTCCACTGCCCAGCTCCCAGCAGCATCCCATCTCGCCCTCACTGTTTACTGACCTTGTGAGGTGAGGGGCTTTGTACACCCAAACTCCTGATGCAGCGATTCAATAAACTGAATGGCTATAAAAGAAATTTCCTCTCATTGCTCTGTTCCTGGGTCCATGCCCAGAGCCAGGATGTTAGAGACCAGGCTGTGGGTGGGGACGAGGCGACCCTGTGGCCATGCTGGCGCAGATTTCCACCCAGACATGCCTCGGGTCTCCTTCCTCCTGGCCAGCCTCCCACCAGCAGTGTAGGCTGGCCAGGAGGCCACAGACTATGAAGGCCCTGACGGCAGGCTGCGCAGGGTGCCGCATCGGGGCTCCTGGGCTGCCTCAGTGCTTCGCAAACCTGTGCAAGATGCGCTTCACAGTGCTGGTGACCGTGAGCTTGGTGCTTGGTGAGTAGCTCCAGGGAGTCGGGGGGTCTCCTGGCCTACTAGATGGAGAACTGGGCCGGTCTGCGTGACGCGGGAGGGCCTGGGGCCGCCTCACAGAGACCCCCGAGGGATCCTCTCCAGAGCTGAAGACAACACAGGACAGGAGGGCTGGGGACACTCATGGCGACAGGGTAGAACACAGCTGAGTCCACTCTGAAAGCCTTTGCAGCATCTACTGAGAAACAAGCTTCCAAAGGGTTGAGCCTCTGCCTCTGCTCTGCTGGGTCTGGGGCTCATCAGCACGTAGTCTGGCCAGGGACTGGAACAGGATCGGTGGATACGCACATAACTGGGGAAAGAAGCGAGAATGGGCGCAGTGGTGGGCATGAAATACAGCTGTCCGGTGAGGGCACGGCCAAATGAAAAGGAGGCGACAAGAGATGGTCTCTGCCGCATAATGCGCTCTTGCTTTCACTTCTGAACATTGTGGATCAAGGACGCAGGACCGAGCTGGGTAGGGTGGTGCGGGCCTCCAGCCCCAGGCATCAGGAAGCTGAGGCAGGGGTATGCGAGGCCAGCCTGTGCCGCACAGTGGGCTTGAGGCCAGCCTGAACCACATAATGAAACCCCTTGGCTCAGAACGACAATGCAAAAGCCCAGAAGGAATGATAGAAAGAGTACCTGGGGTGGGGGACTGAAAAGATGAGGCACAGAGGAAGGACTACTCCAGCCTTCCCTGTGAATTCGGAGCTCGTGGAGAACAGGGTGAAGTGAGCTCGTCGAGTACACACTGAAGCAAAGATGAGTGAATTTCTGTTTCTCATCTCTGGAAGGATGACAGCAGAGAATGGAGATCTTCGGGAGGCCCAAAGCTTCTGATATTTTAAGCCAGGCTTTCAGGAACAGGGGAGGTGGGGAGACAGTGGTAGTGTTGGGCAGCCTGGACTCAGGCTGGGGGCTTAGGGTGTTTGCTTTTTTGTGTTCTAGGCAAGCTCGTTCTCCCTAACCCAAACCCCCCTCAGCCACCTCCACTGCCCAAATACCTGCGCTGCTATCGATGCCTCTTTGAGACCAAGGAGCTGGGGTGCCTGCTGGGGTCCGACATCTGCCTCATGCCGGAGGGCAGCAGCTGTATCACCCTGCATATAAGGAACAGTAAGCTGGGGACCCGGGCCCAGCCCCGGCCAGCCTGACCTCTCCTACTCTCCCAAGCCGCACGCAGGGCCCGTTTCCACATCCCTGTTTTTCTGTTTCCTTCGGCGCCACTTCTATCTAGTCCCTGCCTTCTGCTGCCTGCAGCTGCCTGGCTTCAGCCCTGTCCTGCCGCCCAGGCTTACAGGGACCCTGGGACCCTCTGGTGGCATTTTTGACCTGTTCTCTTTTCTCATGCCCCACTGTTCCACCTGGCCACTTACCTTTTTTTTGGTCGAACCAGGATTGAACTCAGGCCCTTGCGCTTGCCAGGGAAGCGGTTATTCTACCAAGCCATCTCCCCGGCCCCTCGGCCCCTTACCTTTACCTTTACCCTTACCAAACTCAGCCTGTGCAGAGTGCTTGCTCCTTTTCCTTCTCTGCCCCTGCAGTGGCATCCTTGGTGCTGACCCAGCCTGAATTTCACATCTGTCTGTCAACAGCCCCCTTGTCCCAGGGACCTGCTGCCTGGCACTCTGGGGCCCGGCCTAGCCGAGCTGGTCTGTCCACACCTCTGCCAGCGGGCACTTGGGCGGCCTCTAATGCGTTACTCCCCAGACTGCAGCAGCGAACCCTGTCCATCGCTGCCTGGGACGCCGCACAAAGGCCTTCCCTATCCATGATGGGACAGCAGGGTCTAGCAAAGCAGTGACGGCCACTTCCTCTGTGCAGCCCGCCTCTAATGCACATCCTCAGCTTTCCTCACCTGGTCCCACGGTGCTGGTTCCCCCCCCCCCCCCCCCGCCCACAGAGCTGGTTCTCCATGCCCCCCACCCCACCACAGCCCCTCCGGGGGTTCACATGCTTTCTGGGCCTCTCTCTCTTCCATTTCCCTGGCAACTTCAGCTGGGGGCACACGGGCTCCCCGCGCTGCCCAGTGCTCGCGGTCTTTGCTGGGGGCGCGTGGCCTGGCGCGGTGCACGCAGGCCGAGGGAGGGGGCAGCAGCCCAGGCCCGGTGGTGACTGCTGCCTGCGGTGCCCCCAGCCAGCGGCTCTGACATCATGGTGAGCGACTGCCGCCGCAGGGAGCAGATGGGAGACTGCGCGTACACCCGGCCCGCGCCCGTGTTTGGCTTCTGGATATTTTCTCACTGCTGCTTCGTGAATTTCTGCAACGATCCTCAAAACCGAGAGTCCTACCTTCAGTAGGAGGGCGCGGAGTAAACGCACGCGCCTTCCGGAGGGCCGCACGCAGTCCCCAAGCAGCCGCCCCAGCTTCGGGCAGGTCCCTGGCTCCTACTCCCGCGCTGCCCCAAGACCAGGCGGGGCAAAATAAACCCATCCGCGAAGCCTTCCGCGTCTCTTTCCGGCAGGTGGAGGCTGTGGGAGGACCACAGGGACAGGGGGACTCTGTCTCTGCTTCCTGCTCCAGCGCTAGTGTACAGAAGGAGGGACTGGAGGCCTCCTGCGGTGGTGGAGGGTGGGCCGGTGCCCCAGACCCGGGGGCTCCTCAGCCCAGGCTGTCTGCCAGGTCGTGCTCCTAGAGCCCTGGAAGCCTGACTTGGCTCTCCCCTCTCCTCCTTTCCCCTCTCTTCTCTTCTCCCCCAACCAGAGTCTCACTAAGTTACCCAGGCTGGGCCCAGACTTGGAATCCTCCTGCCTCAGCCTGCCAGTCAGATGGGATTACAGGCATGGACCATTGCATCGTGCTCTCTCTTGTTCTTTTAATTTTTTTTTTTTGTTATTTAAAATTTTTTTTTAAAATATATATTTTTAATATATTTACTTAGAGCTGGTGAGATAGCTCAGTGGACTAGGCTCCTGCTTACACAAGCGCAGGGACCAGGGTTTGATCCCCCACACCACTTGCTGCGCCAGCCCTGCCCCCACGCACAAGAAGCCAGAGCTGAGTCTGGGCATGGTGGTGCACACCTGTAATCCCAACGCTGGAAGGCTGAAAACAGGAGAATCACTGCGAGTCTGTAAGTGAGACTAGCCTGTGCTGGGAATACAGGCGTGCGTCACCACACCCAGCTACGATGACTGGCACAGTGGGTTCCGAGGTTGACACTGCATGTGGTACAGGGGATCGAACCCATGTCCTTGTGTTTTCCAGGCAGGTGCTTAAACCACCAGGTACGTGGCCACCAGGGGGCGGGCCTGGCTGGCATGTGGTGCTGGGGGATTGAACCGCGGTCCCAAAGCTTGTTCCAAGTAGGTGCTTTAGACCACTGAGCCATCTCACCAGCCCATTTTCTTCCTTTCTGAGGAAGGGTCTTGCTGTGTTGCTCAAGCTGGTCATTGAGTACTGGACTCAGGTGATTTGCCCTGCCTCAGCCTCCAGAGTGCTGGGGCTGCAGGTATATATCTCTGTACCTGGCCTTTTCTGTGGTATTCTGAAAACAGGTCATGGAGAAAGACGGGCCCAGGAGGGGGGGGGGCAGTCTGTTCCTCTCTTTGTACCATTTCCAACTGCCTAAAAATCACGACCTGAATATTAACAAAGGTGGCTTTGCCCCAACACAATTTTTTTTTTTTTTTAGGCCTGGGTCTACAGGGTCTCACCATGTAGATCGGACTCATAGTGATACTCCTGTTTACAGCCTCCCAGGCGCTGGGCTCACAGGCACGCAGCACCACAGCGAGTCTCCCAACACAAATTGTGACCTGTAGAGGTGTTAAGTGCTGTGTAGGTTCGGTGGGCACTACGCGACTCCATTCTGCCATGCACACACACCCTTGTGCAGCTGCTCCAAGGACAGTGGCCACCTCCCAAGGGTCAGGGCGCTCTACCTGGGGGCAAGCAGAGGTCTCATGGAGATGGGAAGGCGAACTTCTGCAGGCTTTGTCAGAAAGGCTTACGGCACAACAGGCCCACAACTGTGCGTTTATCTGCAAAGTATGCACATGCGTGCACACACACACACACACACACACACACCCTGCACTGAGGATAGAACCCAGGGCCTCAGCCTTGCTACAGGCCAGGCAACCAAGTCCTCTACCACCAAGTTCCATCCTCAGTCCCTTTTTTTCCCCTCAGTTCCTTCTTGAGACAGGGTCTTGCCAAGTCTGCGTTGCACAGGCGGGCCTCAACCCTGTGATCCTCCTGCCTCTGCCTCTCCAGGGGCGGCTGTGGCAGTTAGGGTGGCCTGTCAACCCAGAGCTGGCAGAGCACAGTTCTGAGCACTTCTGGGAAGCTGGCAGGGTGACTGCGGCTATGTCTAGGGCCCCTGGCCCACGTCCTGGCTGCTGCTGTCTCCTGGCGCTGCCTCCCAAGCGCCATGAACTGGGCAGTGTTCCCCACCACGATGCTGCTAACCTGGAAGCTCTGGCCATGGGCCGAGTCCTGCAGACCATTAGCGGTCAGGTGTTGTCTCAGCATGCGTCACTGCCTGACTACAGCATGTGTTTTCGTGTGCATACACAATTGCACACATCCCCTCAATTCTAAGAAGCCTTGTCCTTTCAGCGAGGGGAGCACAGCAGCTGAGACTGACCCGCGTAGCAGGAAAGCCAGGCCTGGGCCTCCCAGCCACAACGTGGCACTGCTGCTCAGATCCCATGACCCTGGCACTGCGCTGCAATATGGGGAAGGACAGCTCTCACCTGGGAAGCCTGGGGCTCAGAACAGCGCATGCAAAAGGCTGACTTGGTCCAGGGTGATAGCTCAGCGGCATAAGCATCTGCCTGACAAGCATAAGGCTCTGAGTTCCATCCCCAGTACAAAAAAAAAAAAAAAAAAAAAAGGTCAAAAGGGATGGGCTGAGGAGATAGTTTGGCGGTCTAAGTGCTTGCCTGGCAAGTGCAAGGACCTGGGTTTGATCCCCAGTACAGCATGTTGTGCTGAGCCCAGAACCCCGGCCCCAAGCCAAGCCAGGCACTGAGAGCGGGCGTGGTGGTGCATGCCTGTAATCCAAGCACTGGGGAAGCTGAGACAGGAGGATCATTACGAGTCCGAGCTGCATAGTGAGATCCTGTAACAAATAAAAAAAATAAAAAAAGGCTGACTTGTCCTTGTCACTGCTGTGTGCTTGCCACTGTTCAAAAGTGTTCAGGAACACTTCCCTGGCAAGCGCAAGGGCCTGAGTTCAATTCCTGCTTCCACCAAAAAAAAAAAAAAAAAAAAAAATGTTCAGGTGACAACCCAGCTGCTGCAGCCCCACAGGGACCTCTCACAGGTGCCCTGAATGTGAAAGTCCATGGAGGAGTGCCTGGCTGTCAGGATCTTGGAGAGAACAAGGACCAGCAGGAGCCCAGGTCCCTAGGCACTGGGCTCCAATCTACCTGGATGAAAATTGTATCTTGTGGTAAAAACCCTGGCTCCACCGGACTTAGCTCTCCAGGCTTTGCAGGCTGGCTCATGGCTGGGCTCCTGGTGCTTTGATCTGCAGCTGAGCAGAGGGTGGGCAAGGAGGTGCTAGTGCCAAAACGCCAGGACAGTGGGCAAGGGTTGCAGTCCTGCTGGAATCCTGTGCTTACTTACCTTTGATCTGTCTATGCCTGCCCATGTCGGAACTCAACCCCACAAACAATGCAACAGACTTAGCCCAGTCCTAGTTTATTGCGGAGGCCAGTGGGGGACACAACAAACCAACACAGACCATCTCCTCCCCTCAGTGGGTGCACGAGGACTCAGTGAGGTAAGAGGGGGCTGAGGAGGCCAAAGACTGTGGCAGGATGCTGAGTAGAAAACTGGGTGGGTCTGGGGACAGCGAAGCAGGGACAGAGACTGTCAGGCCAGGACCTCTGCAGGGGGAAAGCCAGGGCAGCACCAGGGCTGAGAGACAGGGGTGAGGGGACACGGTGCCAGACCTGAGCGGATGTGGCAGGAACCCAGTGTGGGAGAGCGGAGCACTCAATGATGGGAACCACCCCCGTCTTTCTCCAGCCAGCCTGGGCCGAATCTACACCTGGGTTTTTCTAAGATGGGGGTGGGTGGGGTGAAACCTAACTCAAAGGAGGGAGGGAAGTCAGGAGGGTGCAGGGAGCACAGGTTGGGGGTTCAGAGGACTCCGGGGGTGTGATGTATGCAGGGAAGGTGTCAGGACCTAGTCCTGGGCAGAACCAGAAGTCCTGAGCTGTTGAAAAACAAGTACACGCGGCGCAGGTCAGCAAGGGACAAGCCCAGTGCCAGGGGCAAGGGTACTGGGGGACCCATGCCTTTGGGCTCCTTCCCCGCATGGACACCAGGCAGGGGCAGGGAAAGGTTTAGGGCCTGGTAGAACTGGCGGGCCTGGGTGTCAGACAGAGGCAGGGCCGGGGGCTCTGCGGAGGGCTCGGGCAGGGGGCCCTGGAGCTGGGGGCTGGCCCAGGAGTTGCAGAAGTCATACTGGCAGCACTGGACCTGATACCAGTACTGTGAAAAGTAGGTGTTGCGCTTTTCCTGACAGCGGTAGGAATTGATCTGTCCGCAGCCTCGGATGTTGAAGCGGACCTTGACCTCTACAGCAAAGGAGACAGCGGTAACCCTGACAGCAGCCTCCCACAGTCCCCAAACCCAGCTCTTCTGCTTCTGGGACTGCCCAGCCCTTCCCCAGACCCCAATTCTATCCTAGGCATCTTCAGAGGGGACCAGCAATGTGCTTGGCCGGCCTCCACTCCCACCTCTCCTTTCAAGACTGCTACCTTCCTGTCCCCAGGGTTCCCAGAGCCCAGCCCTCCTGAGACCAAGCCATGCCACCCCCGGGATGCCACTCACTGTAATAAATGGAGATCACCATGCACGGGGACGAGCTGCTGACGGTGCACTTCTCTGGGCCGGAAATACATCCTACGGAAGGGTCTTCCAGGAGGCAGAAGTGGCAGGTCCGGACTTCGGAAACAGGAGCTGGGAAGCATGGAAGGGAGATGGGAGTCGCGGCTGGGCTCTGCGTCTGCCCTGCAGGTCTCCAAGGCCCCAGCTGCGCGCTTGCCCCGCTTACCCTTTCCCAGCCACGTGCTCGCCCTCCCGGCGGCGGCCCGCTTACCCTTTCCCAGTGCAAAGCCCACCAGGACCAGCACACTGGCCAGCACGCAGCCCGTCATAGTGGAGCACACAGAGCAGCAGTTCCGGCAGGGCGCCCAGAACCCCCACCTTCCTAGGGCCATGCTCCTGTCTGGAGCCGTGGGGTGCTGCTGGCAGGCAGTCTGCAAGGGGCTCCCGGAGCTGCAGAGCTATACTCCTGCCTGGGGCAGGATGCTGGCTCAAGGAGGAAGCCCTTACCCTGGAGGAGGGACACCGTATCCTCCCCCACAGGTCTGGTTCCTGCGTGTGGGAGCAGCGGCCCGCCAGGGTGACACCTCAGGCTGACCCTTTGCCCGAGTGTCTGCCCACCCTACAAGCTCCCCAAGGCCTCCTTCCTCCCCTCAGGGCGGGGCCATGGCTGGTCTCTGGCACCACCCACTGCCCTCATCAACTGGCCAGTTCCCACTGCACCCACCAGTGAGCACCCCCACCCAACCCTGAGTTAGTTTGGCTCCCCCAGCGGGGGGCACGCAGACATAGGCTGGGGAGTGTGTGGCTCAGCTCCCTGGCCCCTTACACTGCTCTTTATTCTAGGACATTTTTTAAAATTTGTATTCTTGGGGCTGGGGAGATGGCTCAGTAGAATAAGCACTTCGCTAGCAAGTGCAAGAGCCTGAGTTCAATCTTTGGTTCTGGGGAAAAAAAAAAAAAAATTGTAGTTTTTTTTTTGAGACAGGGTCTCACTTTTGAGACAGGCTGGCCTAGAACTCACAGCTATCCTTTTGCCTCTGCCTCCCAAGTGCGGGGATCACATGTGTGCGCCACTATGCTCCACATTCTTTTTTTTTAAGTTTGAGACCAACTTTATTCTATTTATTTTGTGTGTGTGTGTGTGTGTGTGTGTGTGTGTGTGGCCAGCTCAGCCCATCAGGGGGCAGGCTGGCTGTCATGTGGTGCTGGGGGATTGAACCGCGGTCCCTTGTGCTTTGTTTAGCTTAGCTTGTTTTAAGTTCGTGCTTTAGACCACTGAGCCATCTCACCAGCCCCTCCACATTCTTTTTAAAACCAAAGTTGAAAGCCAGGCCCACACAGGAGGAACTCAAGGTCAGCCTGCATGCTACAGGGTGAGGTCCTGTCTCAAAAAAAAACAAAACACAGAAGGAAACAATCCTGGAAGACACTATCACTGGGTAAGCCTGCTACAGTACACAGCCAGCCAGCGAGAACAAACACCCCTGCCCTGCTCTGTGCTCCAAGGGTAGCACCCCGATCCATGACACCAATCTGCTTTAGGTCTGGGGGGGTGGGCTGGGCCTCCAGTGCCCCTCGGCCCAGCGCACCACCACCTGCCCTCCCAACCACAAGCACCAGCCGACTAGCTCATGGCCTTTTCTTCCACTTTATTTCATATCCCTACCACAATAATGGCCTTTAATTTAAACTAAAAACCAGAGAGGATTCCTGAAAGGATGGCAGCAAAGGAAAGGTGGTGTCCGAGAGGGCAGGAGGGACAGGGAATCAGCGAATTGTCTTGACTGGGCTCTTGAAGTTGCTGGCGGCTTGCAGCTGCAGCTGGTAGGCCATCGGATGGATCTTGAAACCATAGAGCCTGGGCCAGAGCAAAAGTCAGAGAGAGCAGGGTGAATCCCGTCCTGGTCGTGCCGCTGTCCCTAGCTCCTCCTCTGAGGGGTGCTTATGGACACACTGGGCCTCAAATTCATTTGCTCATAACTATTTGGAAATGTGTCAGAGACATCCACTAAAACTCCCACTCCAGGCTGGGTGTGGAGCTGTGCACCTCTAGTTCCAGCTACTGGAGAAGCTGAGGCAGAGGCTCCCTGGCTGGGAGCCCAGGGTTCGCACCTAGCCTGTGCAACACAGTGAGCTCCTGTCCCCACACAAAGCAAGACAAGACAAACCACGCAGAGGGGGCCACCAGTGAGGGTGAGTGACAGAGTGTATGTTCACGCCTTAGCGAGCATGAGACTGTGGGCTCAATGGCCAGCGACAAACACACAAAAAGAAACTCCAAAGAAGGCAAAAAGGAACTCAAATTCTAGGCAACACACATCACTACTTATTTCAGTATAAAGCAGACCCTCTCTCCATTAGTACAGGATAAAAGTAATACGCCAGGAAGATAAACTGAGCTTAACCTAACCAACAGCTCTGAAATCCGGCAAAAGGCCAAGCCCCCGGACTACGCAGCGATAGCTACTGCTTACACAAGGATGTTCCAAGTGACACTAAACAACGCACACAGGTGGACACTGCCTGGTGTGTACCAGCACCACCTGCATTACAGACAAGGAAACTGAGGCACAGTCGATTAAATAAGCTCCTGGTCACTCGGTGGGAAGGAGGCCCGACTCTGGGAGCAGGCCTCAAGAAAGGTTACGCCACCTCTTCCCCTGCGAGTGCTGCCCGGGCCCTTCCCCTGACCACCCGGGAGTTTGTTCCTGCTCCCCACCTGGGCACAAACTGGTTGGCAGGTCGCTTGGGCCGGTACTCGGGATGCACCATGAAGAGCATGTGAGGGAAACCGGTGCCGAAGTAGGCGCCGTCCGTGTGGTGGTGCCTTGACGACTTGGGTGTGTACACATCCATGCACTTGGGGCAGTAGAGCTTCACCATGGCCTCGCCTGGGATGTCCGAGAGACCTGCGACGCAGCCAGAGCCCGTAGGCCACACACCTCCCGCTCTGCCCAGCCTCCCCAAGGACTCAGACACCAGTCCGCGGAGGGAGACCCAACTTTTTGGAGACGTGCCCTCCTCTCCCTTCCTCAGCACTCACCGATGGGAAGCATTGGCTGGTTCTCACAGTACACACGGGGACAGTAGCCAAAGTCTCCCTGCTGGTACTTTTCCAACTGAGGTAAACACAACAGCAGGGGTTGGTGGATACGTGGGAAGAGGCAACTTCCTCCTCAGCCCAACCCACATCCCTGTGCCTCCCATCTCTGAGTAGAAGCCCTTCTCTGGCCAGATTCCTCCTGTTCAGCGCGTTGCAAAACCCTTGTGCTATTTGCTGTTTCCTGAAGCAGCAGCATTCGACAACTCCCTGTCTAAGATCTTGTCTCCCTCCCTGAAAATACCCGCCTCAGCCTGACCCCAGGGAAGATTCAACTTCTAGGCCCCAGCTAAGGTTCTTCCCCTCTCCTCAGCTAGACTTCTGGGTGGGAATGAAGCATGACTTCTTGCTCCAGGAAACTCTGCTTCCCTTACTGCCTCAGGAGGAATCACGTGCGAGCAGAGGCCTCACCATCTGGGCGATGCCACGGTTAGTGAGGATGTAGCGGGCGTGGATCAATCCATAAAGCATTTCGGCTGCCTGCTCAATCAGGTCACTCTGGTTGGGGTTGTCTTCCAGCTCTTCATCTGACAAAACACGGACCAGCCAATACGACCTCTTGTTTTTCAACTTTCCTAGGCACCCCACCCATGGCCCAGGGCCACTCGCTACCCAGTTCACTTAGCACCCACCCCTGAACTTCACCCTATTCACAGCCTGCGCATCTGACCCTTCACCAACTCAGTGTAGCTCTGTCTTCTCTCCACACCCCTCACCCTCTTCTCTTCTTTCCCTCCCAACTCCTTCCTGAACACAGAAATGGAAAGACACCAACACCTGGACATCTTGACCGGAAGGTGCAAGGCTACAGAAGGGAGTTGTAAACAAGACTCACAAGGGAAGTGGCCTTACGAACAAAATTTGAGTTACAGAATCAGGAGGAAAGAGTCAAGCGGGGATCAAATAAAGCAGGGGTTACAGGAGTTGGAGAACCAAAAGGTAATTTAAGAATTCAAGTGTTGGGTGTGGTGGTATGTACTGCAAAGGCCATGGGTTCAATCTCCAGTGCAAAAAATAAGCATGTGAATAGAAAGAGAAAAAACACGCGCACACCCACGTACTAAGCCCGAGGGATAACTCACCAGGCTCCAGGTCCAAGATCATGTCCAGAGCTTGACGATAGTGAGGCACCTGCTCATTGAGCCCAGTAAGATTAAATTTGTCTTGGATGTAGTCTTCATCCACCTGTCAAGACAGAATTCAAGAGGTTAATCCAGGTAACAAACGCCACCGTGGCCAAGGTAAGATGCTCCCACGGATGCCTTGTCCTTCGCAATCTGCAGTTTTTCCTGTTTCCCATTCTCAACTCCCTACTCCACAGAAGAACCTGAGTCTCTCCTCCCAGCCTTCACACACTGTGTCCCACAACGGGTTAGCTTTTCTAACAATACGCAGGTACAGCACATCCTCACAGAGCCATTCCTTTCAGGATCACTGTTTCTATGTCTGTATCTCATATCCAGAAACCAGCTTCGCCCTCTCCTTAGGGACAGCTGGCTTTCTGAGGACAATGCGGGCTGAACAGCTTGGTTTCTGCAGGCAGTTAGGATCCCTTACTGAACACTTTAACAGGCAGCATTTCAAATCTCCCAACAGCCTCGACAAGCGCTCTACCAACACCATTCTAGTAACAGAAAAGGCGCAGGGCGGCTAATCCAATGTCATATGGCCACAGGGTGGCAAGGTGGGGACTTGGGCCCCAGTCGTGCCCCTTTCCCACGCACATTAGTGGGGAGCTGTTGATAGGATCCTTCCTCCCTGGGAAGGAGCGTCCACGCAGGAGTGTAAGACAAGTGTGCAGGAGCCGAGGGGAAGTGTGACCAGGCACATGTGAAGAAAGCAAGTAGGGAAGCAGAAGAGAACTCACTTCACAGAAGAATTCATTGCCGCGGAGCCCACAGAACCAAGAAATCCACGACACCTCTTCTGAGCTACTCATCTTCACGTCGGCTGGGAAAACAGGAGCACACTAAACTCCAAGCTCTCCCTGTCTCTGGGATCCTCCCTCCTCCCACTCTTTGGGTGCTAGCACGGAAGAATTTGGGGCCACCCCTTCTTAAAGGATCGCAGGCTCTGGAGTACCCCTCTCCTGCTTCCCTGATTCACCTCGGCCCCTCTCCTCCCGCGAGACGAGAAGTTCTGTGCACCGCACCACTTGCCAGACGCCGGCAGGTAGTGACCCTCCGGCCCACCCACGTCCCGGCGCTGCGGCCAGCCAGGCCCCTCTCGCGGGGGCAGCCCCGGCAGAGCCCTCCTTCTCCTAACGCCGCAGGACGGACCGTCCCGACGCTTTTCCCCAGAGTCCCAAGTTTATCCTTCCCAAGCAAGAGCCAGGCCCTTCCTTTTTTCAGAGTCTGGGGAGGCTGTCAGGGACCCTTTACAGGAATCCCCACATCCCGCCTCAGTCCCGCGCCGCCCTCCTTCCTCCGGTGCCGGACCAGGTCACTTCCTCCTTCGCCCCCACAAGGCGCGGAGACCCTCGTATGCCGCGCCCAGGGCCAGGGGATTCAGCCCGGCGACCGCCGCAGACTTACCAGCGGGACTGGAACCGGGAGCGGGGTGGGGGAGGGGGTTGCTGCTCTGGGAACGCCGCGGACCGCTAAGGCGCAGGCCGCGGACCCGACCGCGGCAGGCAGAGTGGGGTGGGGGGGGCCGTGGAAATTGGGGGGCAGGGCGGGGGAAGAGCAGTGCGCAGGCGCGGAGAGCCAGGCGCCTCGTTGGATGCCGGGAGTTGAGGTCCCTACTTAGGGTAAGAGACTTGCGAGACGAGGGAGAATGAACTACGAATCCCAGAAGGAAGCGCGCACGACTCTGGTGTCGCGAGGCCCCAGAGGAACCCGCCTGGGGGCGGGATGCAGCGAGGTACCACCGGAAACAGGAGCCAAGCAGGTATTTGCGCCGGGGAGCCTGGGAAATATAGTCGAGAGCTGGCTGGAGTTAGGGGCCGAGCGAGGCGGGGAGTGGAGCGAGCCGGACCCAGCTGGTTCCTTCTCGCGGTTCCTTTTGGGTTCTGGCGCGGCGCGGCGCTACCACCCAGGAGGCTGGCCCCATGCCGAGCCTGACCCAGAGATCGCCTGTCAGGCTCACCCCTGGATCCCCCGACGGAAACCAGGCTGGAGGCGGGAGGTGCGCTGGGCCCCGCGCTGAGGGACTTGGGTCGAGTGCTTGGGCTGAGCAGAGCGAGTCTTGGGAGGGCTGGTCCAGTGTGCTAACCTGAGGTGGCTCCAGCCATTCTGCTGTTGAGCGCCCCTTTGCACTTCTCCATTAAGTCTCGGAGTGTTTTGCTGCGGGCTCTAAGTGTGTTCGTCGAACCTTGGTCCTAATGGGGAGGGGCACCTGGAAGTTACTTCATTTCACACCTTCTCGGCGTTCCCCAGCCTTCCCTCTGCCTTCTCAGGCTCTTTCTTAGCCTGGAGAATGGTTTTCCAGCTTCAGAAAATGAGTGTGGAGCGGGTGCGCCACGTCGAAGGCAGCGAAGGGCATTGTGGGGCGTTCTGTAAAAGCAGTACCCCAACCGATGCGACCTTCTGGGGCCTCGAGCGGCCGGGGCGCGCGATATTGTGCGCGCGTTCTTGGAAAAGGGCCGTCAATTGAGCCTTGCGTGCGGCTTTGTTGTTGCACGTGCGTCTTTGTGTCATGTGATTGCGTCAATTTTTTAGATTGGAATAGCACGATTTTACGGTGTGGGAGCCACAGAGTGATTCACACAAGAGCCTTTTCCTGAAATCACCTGGAGAAATGTGTCTGTTTCTGTTTGAGAAGAGACCTCCAAAATAGGATCAAGGAAGCTCTAAAGGGCTGGGCTGATGTTTCTCAATGGTATGTACTATAAACTTGTTTAGAGAGAGGCTGGCATCATTTGTTGGTGAGGGGATAGTGAGGTGTAACTCAGGACCTATGGACAGCTGGCTCATGAAGTTAGGGGTGTTTTTTTTTTTTTTTTTTGCAGAACCCGGGATTGAACTCAGGCCCTTGCACTTGCCAGAGAAGTGCTTTTTCCACTGAGCCATCTCCCCGGCTCCTTTTTTTCTTTTTCTCTCTCCCTCTGTTGGGGTTTTGGGGATGGAACCCAGGGTCGTCGCACATTAGGCAAGCATTCTACCACTGAGCTACATCCCTAGCCAGCTCTTCAGAGTTTTTCTTTATTAACCTCTACCAAAGCGCAGGATCTGCTCTAAGGTTATGTGTTTTTACATAAGGTTCGTACTTCTAAGTTGTGGGCTGAGTTTGGGGGCAGGAGTGCTTTCTGTTCTAATTTTTCTCATTCCAGGAGCTCCCGAAGAGATGGTTGTCAGCACAGAGCCGCGGTGGGCGTGGCCAGGGTTGTCGCATTCTTACTTCCTCGTCTTCACTCCCTCAGTGTCTCCAAAGCCATGTCCAGACCGTCACTCATCACGTTCACGCCCGCCACTGACCCCAGTGACCTCTGGAAGGGTGGGCAGCAACAGGCGCAGCCTGAGGAGCCAGAGCCCACCCTGGATGGCGCTGCAGCCCGGGCTTTCTATGAGGCCCTGATTGCGGAGGAAGCCCTGGCCCCTGAACCGCAGAGAGCTCAGCCTGCGCCTGCCGGGCAGAGAAAGAAGAAGAAAAGAAAAATGACAAGGGAAGCAACATCAGCAGCAGCAGCGTCAGGAAGACGTGGACAGGGGCAATCCTTTGTGGCTGAGGACAAGATGACCCAGTGGGTACTGAAGGCGGCCCAGGAGGGGAACGTGGCAGAACTTCGAAGACTGTTGGAGCCGCGTGAGGCAGGGGGAGCCGGAGGGAATATCAATGCTCGGGACGCTTTCTGGTGGACACCCCTCATGTGTGCTGCCCGAGCTGGCCAGGAAGCCGCTGTGCGCTATCTCCTGGGCCGGGGGGCTGCCTGGGTGGGGGTCTGTGAGCTGGGGGGCAGGGATGCTGCTCAGCTGGCTGAAGAAGCAGGCTTCCCCGAGGTGGCCCGCGTGGTCAGGGAGAGCCATGGAGAGACCAGACGTCCAGAGACCCGGTAAGGGGGAGCCTTGGTCCATACCTGTCCTCCAGGGCGTTCTGCTTTTCCCGCTGCCCCATACCGGGGACAGCCCCAGAACAGCTATAGCGTTCTCTTCGTTCTCCAGTGTTAAGGTAGTGCATGTGAGGTCCTAGGATTTAAATCCTGATCCCACAAACCTGGAAACCACCTTATGTCCGTGTCTGTTTCTTCCTCTGAGACATGCAGGAGATAAGCACTCTCCTCATGAGCCAGTTGGCGGGGTTAAATGGGTCCGTGTATTTAAGTGCTGGAGCAGCTGTAGTCATCCACCCGTGTCAAAAGCTTATGAAGCTGGCTTACCAACTCCTTTCCCCTCTGGGCCCCTTATGGCTAAGTGGGGAGGGCTGGGAGTGTAGGTTAGTGGTAGAGAGCTTGCCTAGCATGCAAGAGGCCATGGGTTAGATCACCAGCAAAAAAACAAACAAAAAATGGTGGTGCTGTGTGTGGAGGAAGGCAGTTTGTTCTCTAGCAGAAAATCTAAAAGGAAAGGGCCTGCTAAGTGGCGCAACACCTGTGTGGCAAGTGTGAGATCCTGCGTCCCAGTACATAAAAACTTGATGGCAGCTAGGTATGGTGGTGCAGGCCTCCAGTCCCAGCACTTGGGAGGCTGAGGCGGGAGGGTCAATGCGAGTTTAAAGCCAGCCTTAGCTACAAAATGAGTTCGAGGCCAGCCTGAACTACATAGTGAAACCCTGCCTCAAAAAGATGGAAGAGAAAGGGGGGAAAAAAAGCTGGAAAGGTTCTGTCCCTGCCAGTCCTCTGAAGCCTCAGGTCTCCCTTTCCTTTTCTCTGCCCTTTACCCTTTGCTTTTTTTTCTGCAGGGCCCCCTCTCCCACCCCCCAGTATTGTGAGACCTGCGACGGCTACTTTGAAGACTCCAACCACTGCACATCCACCGCCCACCTGCTGTCACTAGTCAGAGGTCCCCAGCCCCCCAACAGTCCCCTTGGGGTGCCCATGTCTAGCCCTGGCTTCAGGCTGCTGCTGAAGGGAGGCTGGGAGCCAGGAATGGGGCTGGGGCCCCGGGGTGAGGGCCGTGCCAACCCTATCGCCACCGTCCTCAAGAGGGACCAGGAAGGACTGGGCTACAGACCAGCACCGCAGCCTCGCGTGACGCACTTCCCAGCTCGGGATCCCCGGGCTGTGTGTGGGAGAGAGAGAGCCCTTCAGGTGGCTGCGCTGAGCCGGAGGAAGACAGGAAGGCAGGAGGAGAAGGACAGGGCCTGGGAGCGGGATCTCCGGATGTACATGAACCTGGAGTCCTGACTGTGGTCTGCCTGGTCTGCCGCTGAGGTCTGAACTCAGACTTCTGACCTGAGCACTTCGCTTTCTGCGTCCTGGGATCTACCCAGGTGCCAGGCCTTTAGGTTTTAACCAGGAGCCTCTACTCCTGGGAGACGGCTGCTGACGGTTGGAAAATAAATCAGCCTTCATCCTCAATTGTGGTTTACTTTTCTGGAAGCTGGTATGGGGGAGCATAGCAGAAGTCTGGGGGCCACATGTATGTCTCCCCTGGGCCGGAAGAGGCAGCCTGAGCCATGGTGTGGTAACTTCCTGCTGGGCCTGGGTCTCCTGGGAGAGCCTCACCTTTTTCAAACCCCTTTACCAGGAATTGACACCTCTAGCAGGAGGGCCCTCTGACCACTCCAGTCACTGATTTGAGAAACACTAGCTGGGTGTGGTGCACATATCTGTAATCCCTGCGCTGGGAGGCTGAGGCAGGAAGGTCATAAATTTGAGTCCAACCTGGGCAATTTAGCAAGAGCCTGTCGCAAAAGGGCTACAATATTAGCTCAGTGTGGCGGACCTGCATTCGACGCCCAGCACATTGAAAACAAAATGAAGGAGCTCACCGTTGGAAAGGAGGGAGTTGTGATATCAAATACTATAATGTGTCCAGACGCTGAGATACAGTGTGAGAAAGAGCAGGCAGTGGGTCCCTGGCACCCGGCATGTATCTGAAGCAAGAACTGAAGCCACAGGGAAAAAGACCTCGACACAGAAGGAGCTGGTCTTTAAAGCGTGGAAAGGGTTTAGAAAGCCTTAAGATATATATAATACTAAAATAGATGTAACAGCACTTCACTGATCGTTACTTGTGGCAGGAGTGTCCAGACCATAATCTCTGAGGTAAGTGAGTGACCAGGACACACCCCCGGCCACAATACACAAGCGACTGACCACTGTATCCCAGCCCTTTTTTTCTTCTCTTTTTACTCAGTTGTTCTTGTTTTTACATAAGTATGATTATCATTTCTAGTTTTTTTTCTTCTCTCTTTCCCTCCTATATTTACCAGTTTTCCAAAGTTCAAGTAATCTTTTGTCTTCCAGTCACATTTTTTTTTTTTTTTTTTCCAGAACCAGGGATTGAACTCAGGGCCTTGCGCTTGCCAGGGGAGGGCTTATTTCACTGAGCCATCTCCCCGCCCCCCCCCATACTTTTAATCTCTTCATCTTCTAGATCTTTATTTCTCCCCCCAACTCCTTTAAAAATTTCTCCCCTGCAGGGAAAATCACCACGTTGAGGGCATAGTTACTGTGTGTAATTTTTTGATTTGTTGGTTTTGTTATCTAACCCTAAATAGACTTCATCGAGTTACAATTGGCAAATTAATAGTCACTACTACCACAGTTTGGCATTTTCTAGGCTGCGTTTTTAAGCTTGAGGCTGTTGTTACTGGTGACTGTACTACTTCAGCCGTGGTGTCATAACCTGTCCCATCAGTTGTCCTTCCTGATGCGCCAAGACTCAGGTTGCTTAAGCGCGTTACTGCTGTAGGCTAGTGTCACGGAGCTAGGGCAAGCTGGCAGCCATTCCTCCTCCCCAGTAAATAAGAGGATCTTACGACAGACTCAAAACCCAAAAGCTGAGCTGGGAGGATAGCTTAGTGGGATAAGCGCCTTCTTGGCCAGCACAAGGTCCCAGGATCGCTCCTCAGTACCTTGGTACAAGACCCGGCTACACGCCTGGAAGGCGGCTGTGAGTAGTCATTTCCTAAGTATTCTAAATACTAGCAATAAAGCTACTCATCATAAAAGCCTTCAAGGGTCAATCCAGAAATTAAACAAAAATAGAAAACGAGAAGACACTTAAGCAAGGTGCAGCCACTGATTTTTAGCTCACCAAAGGCAAAGCCAGGAGGCAATGAGGTGGAATAATTCAAAAGCCACCCACCTGGACTCTGAAGTGGTAACAACAGAAGTAACAAAGCAGATGGACAAGGCTCTAGGGAAAAAATCAAATCAGAAATAACTTGTCAGAGATGGTGACCATAATGAGAACATGCCTAGTGACTCTGGAGAAGATCATCAACACCCAACATAGGAAAGAAATGAAATCCATGAAAGAGATTCCAACAGATAATCCAAGAGATTAAAGATTTCTTGGGCCGGCCAAATAGCTCAGTGGATTAAAGCGCCTGCAAGCAGGCACAGGAACTGGCGGTTCGATCCCTGGGCCTGCCACTGAGACTGCAATTGAGACTGGGTGTGGTGGCATGTGCCTATAATCCCAGCTCTTGGGAGGCTGTAAACAGGCAGATCACTGTAAATCCGATCTAATAGTGAGATCCTGAACACCCTGTAGACCCCTAAAAAAAAAAAAAAAAAAAAAATTTACATTGAAATGCTGGCCAGATAGCTCAGCACACTGAAGTGCTTGCCTAGGTTAGGCACAGGGACCTGGGTTTGATCCCCAGCATGCTGTGCTGGCCCTGCCCCTGGGGCACACTGAACACTGAGACTAGCGATTGAGACTGGGCATGAGGCATGATGGCACAAACCTGTAATCCCCACATGTGGGAGGCGGAAAACAGGTGGATCACTGTGAGTCTAATCTACATAGAGAGACTCTGTAGACCCTGTACCAAAATACATAAAACAATTCCACTGAAAGTATTTGCAGGGGCTGGGGAGATAGCTCAGTAGAATAAGCACTTGCCTGGCAAGTGCAGGGTCCTGAGTTCAATCCCGGTACCACACACACACACACACAAAAAAAAAAAAAAAAAAAAAAAAAAAAAAGAAAGAATTTTCGAAAGAATCAGCCAAGGTAAGGACTGAATATCAGCTATAGACAGGATTATGGTTAGTAATCATGAAAAGAAAGGTTTTTTTGTTTTTTTTGGTCCTGGGAATTGAACTCACAACCACCCACTTCCTAGGCAGGTGCTGTGATACTGCGCTATATCCTAGTCCAAGATTTCTTAAAAATAGTAAGCGATTGGGCTGCAGAGATAGCTCAGTGGTCTAAGAACCAGCGTAGGTAAGCGCAGGACGTGGGTTTGATCTCCAGTACCACGTGCTGTGCGGGCCCCATCCCAGGTATGCTGAGCCAGCCACCAAAACTGGCTGTGGTGACACATGCCTGTAATCCCAGTGCTGGGGGTGGGCGGGGAGATGGCTCAGTAGAATAAGTGCCTGCCTGGCAAGCGTAGGGTCCTGAATTCAATCCCTAGTACTACCAAAAAAAAAAAAAAAAAAAAAAAAAACCAGGGCTGGGGAGGTTGAAACAGGAGGATCACTACAAGTCAGAGCTGTGTAGTCAGACACTGGCTGATTTGGTTTTTTAAAATTTTTATTTTTTGGCGGAACTGGGGATTGAACTCAGGCCTTTGTGCTTGCCAGGGAAGAGCTTATTCCACTGAGCCATCTCCCTGGCCCCTGTAGTGAGACACTGTACCAAATACATTTTTATTTTATTTTATTTTATTTTTGCGGGACCAGGGATTGAACTCAGGCCCTTGCGCTTGCCAGGCAAGCACTTATTCTACTGAGCCATCTCCCCAGCCCCCCAAATACATTTTTAAAAAGTAAGGGATCTCAAAAAATCAATACAACAGCTGCTAGATAATGCAAAGAAGAATAACATAAGATTGATCTGAGTAAATGAAAAAGGATATAGCAATAATGACATTTAAAAAAAAAAACCTGTTCAGGCCAGGGAGATGGCTCAGTGGAATAAGTGCTTCCCTGGCAAGAGCAGGGGCCTGAGTTCAATCCCCGGTTCTGCCAAAACAAAAAACAAAAAAACCACCAACCCTGTTCACAGAAATAATGGCAAAAAATGTCCTAAGAATGGAAAAAGAATTTGACATACAGAAAAGCAAGGCATATAGAACTCCAATTAGCCATGATTTACAGAGCTGGGGTGGTCTAAGCGCCCGTCTGGCAAGCACAAGGACCTGGGCTTTATGCCCATTGCCACATGCATGCTGGCCCCAGAACCCAACCCATGCGTGCTGTGCCAGCCAACAAAACCAGGCATGATGGTGCATACCTGCAATCCCAGGTCTAGGGAGGCTGAGACACTAGGAGTCTAAGCTATGTAGCAAATAAATAAAGATTAAACTATTTATTCTTTTCTTCTTTTTTCTTTTTGGTGGAACTGGGGATTGCACTCAGACCCTTGCGCTTGCCAGGCAAGCGCTTATTCTCCTGAGCCATCTCCCCGTCCCCTAAAATTTTTAAAAATACAAATTACAGCAAGGGATATAATAGGCAAGATTCCAAAAATTCAGCACAAGAATGGAAGGTGAAAGGCGTCAGAGAAAAGAAACAAATCATCTATAAGAAAGCCCCCCAAAGAAAAAAGAAAGCCCAGGGCCAGGGATTTAGCTCAGCCGCACAGAACCTTCCCAGCAAGCTTAAGGTTATGAGTTTGATTCCTGGTACCAAAAAGAAAGTCCATCAGGACCGGCCGAATAGCTCAGCGGATTAAAGCACCCGCAAGCAGGTGCAGGGACTGGGGGTTCGATCCCCAGGCCTGCCATGCTGGCCCCGGCCATTGAGACTGGGCGTGGTGGTGCACGCCTGTAATCCCAGCTCTTGGGAGGCTGTAAACAGGTGACCCTGAACACCCTGTAGACCCTTCCCTAAAAACAAACAAACAAAAACACAAAGTCCATCAGAATCAGTTGACTTCCTAACACAAATCCTTAGTCAAGGAAAGCTTGGACTGAAGTGTTTCAAACCCTAAAAATGAACTCAGATTGATATACCCCACAAAACTATCTTTCAGAATTGACAGAGCAATGATATTCCATGAAAACTCCCGAAGAAGTTCACGACCAGAGATGATGAGCACTACAACCCTATGAAACCAACAGGATCAACCTGCTGGGCCAGGCAAGTAATTTTAAAAAGGGAGGGGAGGGGCCGGGGAGATGGCTCAGTGGACTAAGCGCTTCCCTGGCAAGCCCAAGGGCCTGAGTTCAATCCCCGGTTCTTTTTTTTTTTATGTATTTGGGACAGGGCCTCACCACACAGCTTGGACTCACGGTGGTCCCCGTTTCCGGCCTCCCCGGCATGCGATTACAGGCATGAACCACCACATGTGGTCTCCGTGGCCAGCCTAGTGCACCCGGGAGCGGGCCCAGCATAGCATGTGGTGCCGGGGATCAAACCCCAGCCCTGCACTTGCTTAAGCAGATGCTTAGCCC